GAACCAAGATTCTGATGGCAGGCTTCCCTTCGCAAATTCTGGAAATCCAGTTATGGCACTGGTAGGTGACTGGTAATGATAATCTTTTGTCATTTATTAATGGATACACATGAGTTATGCTTAATCAGAAGACAAGTAGGTGGCTATCAGTGCTGCATCTAAGTCCTTTTAACTTGTTCCTAGTTGCATTTCTCCTGTTTGAAGGAGCAAGTCTTGATGTGTGTTTGATTAGTTTATTTTGGTGAAATCAGTCTTCGAGAGCTTTGAGTGTTTTTGGAAAAAAAAATAAAAATCCTCCAGAAAAGCTCTGCCAAACATGTATTAGTGACGATAGTGTCAGTTTCACATTAAATCAGTCTGTCTATTATATTCTGGGTTCTTTTGCTTGGATTCTTACGCATTTGATTTTGGTGGGTGCATTCTAAAGGTTGCCTTTTTAGCGTCTGCTGTTGGACCAAGAGTAGCTGCAACATGTGCTCATGCAGCATTAGCTTCACTGTCAGAGAATAATTCAGGGAGCATGCCAAATATAGAAGCACTAGAAAATGATAACAGGTGAGTGTCAGTATGACTCTCATTTCTTGGTTGAAGTGTTTTCTCCTAGTTATTCCCTTTTTCATTTTTAACTTGTACAAGGATATCTTGTTTTCTATTGTGCTTTTCACTTTCTCTTTGTCCATAATTTTATTTTCCCTCTGCATCGACAGCCAGCCTTATTTTATTGTTCATATAATTAGGATTTTTTATTTGCATCTATGAAGGACAAATTCAGAAAACATAAATAATAGAGATGATGGCCATCATGGAGTGGTTGCAAATTCAAATCAGAAAAATGGTAAGTTTTATGGTTCCTGCATTTTTCAGTTGTTGATGTGTAAATTATACCCCATTATCTGGTAAAGTGGTAATACCCAGTTCTCGTTAACAAATGCCTCCTTTGAATTTAGAAGACAAGTCAAAAGTACCTGGTTCTCGTGCTCAAAATGAGGCTGGGTCGACCCTGCTCTCCTTTGAGAAAGTCAAAGATGCTGCTAAAGCAGGTCTCTCTGCTGCAGCAATGAAAGCTAAATTGTTTGCTGATCATGAAGAGCGAGAAATTCAGAGGCTATGTGCTAATATTGTTAATACTAAGGTACAACTGCTTTCTTTTTTGTTTTTGTTTTATTTCGTAATTGCTTCAGTCTAACTGGCTCTATACTTCATCCCTGCGGCCTGCCGTTTTCGATCTGGGTGCATATATATCTGTGTTCGCACTAGTTAAATGTTTTCTTGCAGAATAGGTAAACAAACAATTTGGGAAAATTTAAAAGCGGTCTGTGCCAGTGTTTTGGTGTGTATAACGTGTTATGTGTTTTGGCAGCTGAAAAGATTGGAACTGAAGCTGAAGCAGTTTGCAGAAATTGAAACCCAGTTGATGAAAGAATGTGAACAAGTTGAGAAGCTGAGGCAGAGGTTTGCTTCTGAACGGTCCCAAGTTGTATCAGCACGTCTAGGAAATGGTGGAACCACTCCTCTGAATGTATCTGGTGTTGGTCCTTCCATGGTTAACAATAATAGCAACAGTAGGCAGCAAATGGTTTCTGCTTCTTCCTCACAGCCTAGCATCTCAGGTTATGGCAACAGCCAACCGGTTCATCCTCACATGTCCTTTGTCCCACGGCCTTCAATGTTTGGATTAGGACAAAGGTTGCCCCTTTCTATGATACAACAATCACAGTCAGCTTCAAATCCGATGTTCAATGGCCCCAGTAATGTGCAGCCTACTCCCAATCATTCGATGTCGAGGTCTGTGTCAAGAACTAACTCTGGTTTAGGTTAATTAGGGACTCAATGGTAGTTTTGAAATATCTCCAATACAATTATTGTATTTGATCATTGTTTTCAGCAGTTACGAGTAGTGCCATGAAATTTGTTTAGTTTTAGGCCCTGTAATTGGTTCACTAGACTGTGAAAGTGTTGCTTAAAAGGGAATAAGTAGCATTTGATTTTCCTGAAGTTATATCCAATTGCTTTGCGCTTTAGGTAACATGTGAAGTTTATTGTCGTCAAAGTAAACAAATGTCCAGTTAGTTTACACGAGCAATTAACATCGAAGAATATCATGCTATGGTCTTCAGTGACTTTTTGTCTACACAGTCTTTGCCGTTGAACAAACTAAATCCATGTTACTTGGATTATGTCGTATCTGTCACGGGCAGAGGGTGCAAACTGTTTATATATTCTTGCCTCCGTTCAATGTTTGTCTACAAAGTTCAAGACCATTGAGTTTAACGCATATGCTCTTCTATTTTCCTCTCCTGTTCTTGAGTTTTTTAAACAGGTCTCACCCCTAATTTTCACGGGTTAGAAATTAAGTACCACCTTCAATTCATCTTGTTTCGTATTATTTCTAAAAAATAATTATACAAATAAAAAATATTTTTAATATTTTTAATGTATTTTTATATAAATATATATATATATATATATATTTATTATTATTATTATTATTATTATTATTATTCTAAGGAAGTATATAATTTAATTTATTATATTTATATTAAAATATATATGTAAAAAAATGTTTAATTATTATTTTTTTATAAATATAAAACACTTACACCATTATTATTATTATTATTATTATTATTATTATATATTATAATACTGTATTTAAATATTTAATTATATATAAATTAATTATTTTTAAAATTTTTATTTTAAAATTTTTATAAATATGAAATATATAGTTTATTAAAATATATTTAATAAGTTAATTCTTATTTAATTAGTTCAAAATGATAAAAATGTTAAGAATCAGTTTTTTATTTTATTTTTTTAAATATAATTATTTTATTAAGAAAATTTGATATATAACAAATAGAAAAAATAAAATAAAAAAAAAACATAGTAAAACATGATAAAGATAAACTAAAAATTAAATAATAGAAGTTACTAATAAAATTGATGTATAATATTTAGAAAAAAATAGAGAAGAAGAAAAATTAACTTTGTGTTTGTGAAATTTATTGAAAAAAAAAAATTAATTAAGAGATTAAGAAAATACGAAGAAATCAAAGATAGAAAAATATGAATAATATAATGAACTTATTGATCTAAAAAAAATTGAAATGACAAAAATGTAAAAAATAGTAGAAGAAAAGTAAAAAATGTGAAATATACCAAAATGATAATACTTTTCAAATATTAAAATTTAAAATTTAAATTTAAATACAAAAGCGGGGTTTGGATGAAATGGAAGTGAAGATTATTCTGATTTTTTAAAGAAAAAAAACTTGAAAATCAATCTTTATCTTTGATTAAGTTGATTTTTCCCGTCGAACAGAGAAGCATGGATTCATCCGATGAATATGCCATTCCCACGTAAATACAAAGAAAACTAAATAATTAATATTGTGCAACGCAGCGTGATGGAGTATACATGATGATTAGAAAACATTAAGAAAAGCAGGTAAAAACTGTTTAAAATTAATAAATTGCAAAAAGAGAATAACAATATCGATTGTTAGAAAAGAATTCTTATAAACCCTTAAAAAATAAATAAATCCGAAAAAAAAAAAAAGAAGAAGAAGAAAAAACTAGTGTAGACATCATATTATATTAATTTTAGTGAATTGTAAGCAAGTCCCACTAATTTTGATTTTAAGACTAGTAAATAGTGAATGCGATTTCATTACCTAAATAAATTTCACTTAACAGGAGAGTATATATTGGAAAGAATGTGTATCATTTCTCTATATTTTTCCCAAATTTTGAATGTGCCGATATTAACTATTAAGAAGGATATGGGTGTATACAAAAATAAATCCTCCGTCAAGAACTATTATATACGATATTAAAAGATAACATATTATAATTAATCATTATATTTAAGCTATTATTATCTGTTTTTGAATTTAGATTCTACTCGTAATGATTTTATTGGTACAAAAAAAACATTTTAATGGATTAACACAAGAAACAAACTCCGAATATTAAAAATTCATATTCTATTTTAAAGATGAATTTCATATTCATTCAGGTGTAAAATAATGATTTAAAATATGTTATTGATGTCTAATACTTTAATATTGCGATTTACGGTGGTGAAACCAAGGATGACATGGGAATGTAATCATCATTTTCATAATTTTTATTTTACTTTTAAAATTATATATGCATAAATCTTATAGCTTTTTTCTTTAAAAAATGTACTGTGCCCTTTATTTTCAATCTGGCTCTCCCTATTTCAAACTTTTGACATATTAAAAGAACATTAAGATCCAATTAAAGAAATAGTATTAATAATAACAATAAATAAAATATTTTTTTTCACTAATTACCTTTTTTTTCTATCTCTTTTTATTTTCTCTTTAAAATTATCTGTTTCTCTCCTCTCTACCAAACCATTGATTCATAAACTGTGACATTGCACCACGGTGTATCAAGCCAAATAATTTATAAGTACAATTGTGATGAAATATTTAGATTAATTTATTTTTAACAATTTTTTGGAAAAAAATTGAAATAAACTTCTATATGAGAATTAATTTAAAAACGAGTTATAAAATTGTTTTATATTATTTTATGTATAAATTTATTTTAATATATTATCAAGAAGCTTATATATTACCTTTGCTTCTTATTCTTATATATAAGAAGAACGTTAAAATCTATCATAAATAGATCTATGTTTGAATATGATATGATATCATAACTCATCTGGTACTAGCATTATTCTTTCTGCGACTAGTAACAACTTCATTCTTTTTTCCGGGTGTTACGTACTGTTGAAACATCATCTTATAATTTGCATGCACACGTAGCCAAAACATGGTTCATGAATTAAATGAAAACCATGCGTTTTATCATATTTTATCAACGCAAATTAATTAATAAGTTATCAAAACCGATGCAAGTAAATGTTAATGAGTTTGTAGTATAAATATAGTGTTCCAAACCATTTCAAAGCCATCAATAAATTTTGCAAGTCATCATCAAAAGCCTCGACCATTGAAACAATGGCTACATTCCACAGCTTTTGTCTCATGGTGGTGGTTATGATCAGTGTTAGTCTGATGCTGAAAACGGGGCTTTCATACGAGGTTCCTGCTGAACCATCACCTAGTCCTTCCGATGAAACAGATTATGCGCCAAGGCCACTGTCATCATATGAAGTGTATTTACAGCACTGTGCTGCGAAGCTATACCCAGATTGTGGTGACCAGGTTTTCTCAGCTATATTTTTTGGCAACGACACCGTTAGCAGCACTTGTTGTGAGAAACTCGTTAACGAAGTGGGAAAACGGTGCCATGATGATATGACTAAGTACTCTTTGCAATCCCCAAATCTCAGGAAAAACCAGTTTCAGATCTTACAGAGGAGTGAAAGTGTTTGGAATTATTGTCTTTATCTGGATCACCCTGCCCTTCAACCTGTTCATGCACCCTCTATTGAACCTGTTGGTGCTGAATCAGAGTTATTCCTATGACTGATTGTAAAATCTCACATCAAATTTAATACTATAAATTTATAATTTATTGCCTTAATTTTCTTCTTATGATAAATTATAGTTATTATTAATTTATAAAAGTGTGTTAAATCTATATCCTCTCTTTCCTGAAGATTTAATAATTAATATTAGTTATTCATTATAATTATTCAAGAAAACAAGTTTATATATATATATATATATATATATATATATATATATATATATATATATAACCGGAAAATTTATAATTAACAAGTGACTTAAATACCGTGTTTTCTATAATTGCCATTACAATGCGATTAGTATGATTCAAACTAATTAATCACACAATTAAGATTTGCTCAATAAAGCTTAAAGTTATCCATACAGATACATAATCATCCCCATTTGTAATAATTCTATGATAACATTGATCTATTTAGGTTGAAATAAACGCCAAATGTGACACCACCTACAGCGTATGTAGCGTTAACTACATTTATTTATACCCATCCACTGAAACTTTCACCTTTCGGCCAAGCCACTAACCTGAAAAAGCAATAAAGACACATTTAATAATCCCAACAGAAAACAAGACCATGAATATGTGAAGGCCAATAATATTTTGAAATCCGGAAAGCTTAGGAAAATAGTAGTACACACTACCTGGCTAAGTGCTATAGTGAGACCGAAAGAGGATTAAGAGTAACTGTAACAGGCTTGAATTCCAGCAACTCCGTGGAGTTCAACCATGACCTCTCCCACACCTTTGCTTCATACACTTTTTTTTCGTCACCATCTTTTGCTTCCAAAGTTATGTAGAATAAGAATCCTTCCACCACCTGTTGCTTTGCATGAATCACCCTCACAAACACCAGATTTGCATTCTGTGTCATTAACAAAATCACGTTCCAGAAATTCATCATGGAATAACAGATCACTGCTGAGATGAAGAAAAGGAGCAAGAATAAAAGAGAACCTGATCTTTGTTGTATTGGTCAACGGCAAAACGAGCGAGATTTTCAATTTCGATGCTGTTAGCAGGAACATCGCTAATTCCACCAACTCTGGTTTCTGTTGTAGCATTAGTAACGAGCTTAAATTCTTGCACCTCCTTGGATTTCAACCATTCCTTCACCCACACTTTGGTTTCATACGCATTTTTGGTTTCACCATCTTTTGCCTCCAATATTATGTAGTACAAGGTCCCTGCAACCACCTGTTGCCTTGCACTGATCACCCTCACAAACTCCAGAGCTGAATTCTGTGTTTCCAACTCCAAATCATTATACATGTAAAAAAAAAAAGACATTGTAATTGCAATTAAAGTAGAGACAATGATCTTGAGGATAATTTATAAATATCTGAGTTATTCCTAAATTCAATTTTGAGTCATTGATACATTTCTTGCATCGCACTACTGAAAACTAACTAAGAGTATATCAAAATCAAATTAGGTTTCATAAAATCCGCAACGTATTCAAAATTATATATTTCATTTCATGCATGTTTGAACGATATGTACGTTTTAAGAGACAAATTAATATTTATGAAAATATAAATTGACTTAAACTAAGAACCTGTTTTTTGTTGTGGTCATCGACGGCAAAGCGAGCGAGATTTTCAATCTCGACACTGTTGGCAGCTCCAGGCACATCGGTAATGCCACCGGAAGTTACAGTTGCCATTTCTCTTTTCTTTATCCCCTTCTCTTCACACTCTCTTCTATCACTATTTATACCCAAATATTACCAAACTTATCTTATTTTCAATGAATTTTGAGTGGCGAAGAAAAAACAGATTGCAATTTCTTTCCAAAATTCCTAATATATATTATTTTAAATTTAAACAGCAAATCTAAACATTATTTAAAATAAAAAATAAAAAACCCTAAACCCTAAATTCTAAAAAAAATAAATTATATTTTAAATTACAACTTATTTTTCTTAACTCATATTTTAATATACAACTTTAATTTATTTATTTTTATTTTTTACGCTTGAAAACTTTTTATCTTTCAACGAAATTGTACTTTAATAAATGATTTTAATTTTTTTTATATTTTATATTTTCATATGTTTATATAATAATATATTTTTATTATTAATCATTATAAATATTGTTATTATTAGTTATAATTATAATTTTTTATTTTTATTAGACAGTTATAAATTTATTATTATTATACTTATTATTGTAATAAATATAATAAAATAATAAATATACTACTACTAATAATAAAAATAATAAATACAATAATAATCATAATAATAACAATTATTAATAACAGTAATAAATTAATAATTTAATAATAATAAAAATAAAATATATAATTGTAATTGTAATTATAATAATAAATAATAAATAATAAAACTAATAATATTAATGATTATAAATATTATTTATTATTATAATAATAACTATTAACAATATTATTGTAATAATAATAATTATTTATAATAATTAATAATAAAAAATATATTATTATATAAAAATTTAATAAACTAAAAGAGAAAAAGAGAAAAGTAGAATACAAATTGAAATACAATTCCTAAAAGACAAAAAAAGTTGTAAAACGTTAAATAAGAAAGTTACTTAAATGATCATGTTTTAAAATATAATTTGTATGAAAAACAATCTTTGTATTAGTCGTGTTGTGAAATATAATTTATTTTTTAAAATTTTTATTTTATTTTTTATTTAAAATATGATTTATTCATTTACATATTTTTTAAAATATTTATTTTAAAAATTTTATATTTTGAAATTGTATTTATTCATTTACATAATTTTTTAAAAATATTTATTTTAAAAGTTTTAGAAAGAAATTGTGCTAATATTATATTTTAAAAAAAAAAACAAACTAATGAAGTTAGAGAAAAAAAAAAGCATATTTAAATTTTTCTGTCGTGTAGGCTTTATTTTTGTAGTTATTATTAGTGAAAGCTTTGTTGGTAATGTCATGATAGGGGTGTCAAATGAGCCAACCCGCTCACATGGCTTGGCTTACTACGACTAAGTTGAAAATAGCGAGTTCAACTTGGTTCACTTTATGGTTAGACAGAAATGTTACAGTTCGGTTCAACACATCACGAGTTGGTGAATTAGATGGGTTGACTCACTAACCCATATTTTTTTTAATAAGCACGACTGAACATTAAGACTTAACGTAATGACGCAGAGACATAACAAACTCTGTAATGCAACTAATATGTTGAAAACGCTATGATACAATTGAAATACAGTAACATGGTGACATGATGAATGCACTGGTGCGACGAGTGTGGTGACGTGATAAATGTTGTAACACGATTGAAATATGAGACTGAAATACTGTGACGTTGACATGACAAAAGTTACGATATGATTGAAATGCGAAACTGAAATACAACAAATATTATAACGTAATTGATGATAATCTTGAGTAAGAGTTTGACTTATAATGACGATATGAAATAGAGGTGAAAAAAATCAATTAAAATTACTAAATTATTATTAATTATTTTTAAAATTTAAAATAAATGATAAGTTATGAGTCGATCCACCTGGTTTGAACCCGGTCAATATGTGATTTAAATAAATTAGGTTCATCTTTATCCTATATCGACAAAAAAAACAATTAAACCAACTCGGCTCTAACCGTGATGAACAATTGGTTCACCGCTTAGAACCCAACACCGAACAAATAATCCATATTTTCAGTTTTAGTTTTTTTTTTGTCATTAGAATAAGAAGGAGATATATTAGTTGGAGGTGGATATTTTGTTGGAGTGGGGTGAGGGATTTGTGGACACCACTCATCAATGTTTACAACGTGTTTGGATGAGAATAACTAATTTGATGTCATCATTATTGACTAGTACAAAATACATAAAAGCCACAGTAGACATTTCATTCAAATTTGATGAAAAAATGCCACTTGCTCGTTTCTGAATAGTGACCACACATGCCATTGTCAAGGTTCATCAAAGACTCATTTAATTTGATTTGTTCGTAGATTGAATTTGTTATCACCTTGACGCAGACGTGGAAGACTAATGGAGTTGTGTGAGTAAGCCTTCGGTTGAAATTAAATATTTTTTGGATTACTATATCCGAATAGATATAAAATTATTTAAATATATATTTTTTAAAATTAATAAAATAATTAGATAAATTATTTCATTAAATATTGTTTTCTTCGTATATTCATACTAATACATAACATGAATTAAATTATCAAATATTGAAAAGAAAACAAAATTACGAATTAGGCTATCGTCCATCCAATAGAGCTCTTTAATCTAGAAGTTAAGATATAATAGTTTTAACAAACAAATCTACAAGTTTTTTAATGTAATCTGCGTAGAACATGATGTATGTATTGTTTTTTGTGATTGCTTTCTGATCATAGAGAAATTTTTCTTATATGAATTCCTTCTATTCAAACCTCGTTCTTAAGTCATGGCAGTTCTTCTTTATCTATTAATTAAGACTGTTGGTGGGTGAGTTGTAAAAGGATGGACGGTAGAGATGGTTGTAGGGTGGTGACTATAGCAAGAGGAGACTGTAGATTGGTGGCTAGCTACAACCGGATAGAATATATGAAAATAAGTTTTGAGTTTTTATGAATCTGATGGACAAAAGATAAAACGTGTTTCTTTTTCTTTTTCTTCTTCTTCTTCTTTTTTCTTTCTTTAAAATGATATTTTTATATTAATATACTTTGCACTTCTAATTAATTAATTTTTATACGAAAAAATTAGTATTAACTAGTGATTTTTAATTTAAAACATATACCCGTAACAAATATATACAACATTTAATTTATACTAAGAAAAAGAAAAAGAAATATAAAATATGAATTAGCTATACATCTCGTTATAAGATTTTGAATTATTTTTTTTTCTTTATGAATATTACATAAGAAAAAAAATTGTTTTAGTAATAAAGCTCATTTACATGTCTCAATAAATTTTTGTAAGCTAAGTCAAAGAGTTTTAAAAAGTATTTTTATTATTATTTCATAGATATTGATTTTTTTTATACGAACTTTTCTTATTGAAAATCTATATTTCACCCAAATAATTATATTAAATGCTGGTTAGATATTTATTATGATAATAATATATAAAAAATGTTTTTATTCAATATTATATTAAATGTAATAATAAATATTCTTTATTATTTAAAATAATATTGATAAGAAATTTAAAAATTATGATTTTTTATAGAATATATATATATATATATATATATATATATTTTTTTTTTTTCAGAAATACTTATATATTCACTTAACTATCGTAATGTCTTTGTAGACGGATATCCCATTTTTCTCATTCAATATATATACTCATATATTGTTTTTGTTATATTTCTTTTTTGTAAGAACATTTAACTCCTAGGGTTCAGTGAAATACAAGTCAGGTCACCTTGTGCATTGATTTTCTCAATTCGTTAAGATGTACATAAAAGATATCCTCCGTTATTTGAAGCTCTACATGGAGGAAATGTAGAAGAAAAACGAAGAGAAATTCAATATAATAGAATAAAGACATCATGAAGAAATGAAGACTTTCAAAAATCAGATTGCAGAAGTGGAGAAATAATTGTGAGTCTTAGTTCAATCTTCCTCGAGACATCTTCACTCGTCTAGATATTAATCCTAATTGTGGCGCCAATCGCCTACTTGTGAAGATGATGATCAGACTGAAGGAAAATCTAAAAGGCATGGTATTCGAAATGAAGCTCAACTAGGGCCAAGTATGAAAAGGGTAGAGACTCATCATGTTCAAGGGAAATCCTGGATGAAACTAGGAAGCCCATTCATTTTAACAATTATAGTCGAAGTCCATTGAGCTTCTCCCCGATATATGTCAGTAACGATGCTTTTTTCAATAATGAACAATTGGCATGTTACGATCCATCATGTCTTTGACAAAATCAAGAGAGTCTCCTAGGAATAACAGTTCTAAACATACCTACATCATGAGGATAAGGGAAAACATTACCAGATTTCATACATCAGTGGTAAGATTAATATGCCAAATAGAATCCATGTCTAGATTATTAATTGAAACATGGTCAAGACGATTGAAAGGACCTAGTGTTCCATGGAACACGTTAGTCAAGAGACAAGGTGGAGCTTCTTGAGGAATCCATGATCAATGAGATATCAGTTAAGAATTATGAGTGGATTCTATATCAACAACAACAACAACGATAAGCTTAGATGTATTAACTTCATCATTGATTTTGGAGGTCAAAGCTTCTTTGACATTTACAATTTCAATTTTGTAGGAGTTTGTTCAAATCCTTTAGGAAGACCTGAGCATTACTTACTTTAGCCTAGATCTTCTTATAGTCAAATTTAGAAGCCATATTTATGCAAGAAGATAGCAGAATTAGAAATTATAAAACTTCAATACATTAAAAATAAGTTATATCTTACCTAGCTTTAGGGTCCTTGACAAATCAAATAGACAAACAAGTCTTCACAATTAATTGGGCGAGAAAGACTTGATAAAATTTTTATATCTTCCTTATCCTCAAGAATAAGTAAATGCTCAACACAAAATTTAAATTTATGAGGAACTCTCCAATATAAAGGAAATGAGAACTATGGTCAAGATAGAAGAAAAGATGTTGAGAAACATCTTTGTGAGCACATTTGACTTTAAAAAAATGGCTTTTAAATTTTTTAAAA